TGGAATTCGTGTCAAAAGTGGGAAGCAAGTCATTAAATGGTTAGCAGAGAAATGATTACAAAAATATTATACAGCAAGAGGGGTATATAGGTAAGCCTTTGAAAGATCTAAACAAAGTTCAAGAACAAGCTGTGCAAGCTACCGGCGTAAGTCTTTGTACCTTTCAAGGAATTGTGAGTGAGATGAAAAAAAATTGATTGAAAATGAAGAATGTGTGTTTTTAAGTGACCTAGATCGAAAACGGACAAGTCCAAAAGCAGATTTAGACGACTTTGATGAAAGTGCTCTTCGACGTACAATAAACAAAAAAAGATAGAAAGTTTCCCATAGTATTTACTCTGGGAGACTTCACAAAAAGTTATGAATGAAATAGGGTGGAAAACAAATAAAACAAACCGAAAAATTTCAATAGAGTAACCTGATAAAGAGCAGAGAAGGGCACACTTTTTGAGGAGTTTCTAAAGATAACGTGAAGAATCGGCCAATCTTTATTTACATGGATGAAACATATATTCATTCGACACATATCCATAAAAAAATTTAGAGTTATGATACAAATGAAGGTCTTCGTAAACCAACTTCTGGCAGTGAAAATGGTTTCGTTCCAAACACCTGTTTCTGGTTCAAATCTCATGGTAATTATTATAGTGAGATACAGTATTGTAATTACAAAAAAATACATCAGAAAATTCTTGTAATAGACAATACATGTATAATTCAAATAGTAGTTACTGGGATAGTGAAAGTAGACTAGACTATAAATTCTACTGTCCTGGTTGTAATAGGTTTAGGTATGTATTATGAGTTCTAGTGAATTTCGTTGTTCATCTGTTGACAGTTACTCACCAAAGTTTGAGCCAAGTTCGATGCGCAGTTGTTATGTAACAGTCGTTTGAGTGAGTGTTTTTATGAAAATGAGGAAAATCTAATATCGAGCCGTCATTAAATATCAAGCAGGCTAGATCTGCCTTGCAGATCAAGCAGTTCAAACTGTCAGACGATGCGTTGTCTTGGTGATATAGTATTATCTTTTTCTGCAAATTTTGCCGTTTTTCTCAAGTTCTGCCTTCAGCTTGTCAAATAGTGATGCATAGTATGATCCTGTAATGGTTTCTATTTTTTGAAGATAAGCGATTGCAAAGGCTGCTTCTCAAAAGCTTGGTTCCAAACTAGAAAACTGTACACACCTCAGCAACTTTTGATGCTTTATAAAGCTCAGATCAGACTTTTTTCGGAGTATTGTTCTCATGTATGGAGCTTTGCCTCCAAACATACCCTGAAATTGCTGGATTCCATCCAGAAAACAGCCATTCGCCTGATTGGAGACGGAAACATCACGTGCAACCTTGATAGTCTGGACAATTGAAAGAAGGTTGGAGATTTGTCTATTTTTTATAGATACTTTCACGGAAAATGTTCGAGTGACTTGGCAAATTTGATTCCACCAAGAGCAGTATATCAGAAATACACGACTTCTGTGGCTGCTCATCGTTTTGAGGTTCAACTCAGTACACCTCGAACTTCACTGTTGAGGAGCTTCCATTTGGAGAACTGTGTTTATGTAGAATAAACTTCCTGGGAACGTTTTTCCAAATGGATATATTCTACAGCGATTCAAATCTAATGTGAATCGCTACTTTCGCATAGGCACCGACCTTAGAGAGCCTTAAGAATTTTCCTATAATGCTTGTGTTTTGTCCTCAAAAAAATAACTTCACAACAATCCCAAAAAACAGTCGCCATCACTTTTCCAGACGAAAAAACAGTTTCTGCTATATTTGGAACCGGTTCCCCCTTTGCAGTCCATTGTTTGGACTGTATTTTCCTTTCGGGCCTATAATGGTGTATCCAAGTTTCATCTACAGCAAATAATCGGCGTCAAAATTCGGATTTATTGCACCTAAACCGCACCAACACAGCGTTGGAAATGTTCTTTCGAACACGTTTTTGGTCTTCCGTGAGCACCCAACGCGTGGACAGCTTTCTCGTGCCTATATGTTGATGTAATATGTGACAAACACGTTTTTTGACATGTTCATAACCTCTGCTATCTCTCTCACTTTAATTCGATGGTCGTCTAGTACCATTTGGTGAACTTTGGCGATTCGGTAGTTGCAGTTTTTAGACGTCCCGAAAGTTCATCGTTTCTCAAATTCTTACGGCCACTTTTAAATTCAGCTGTCCAAAATTTCACTGTAGTAAATGATGGTGCAGAGTCCCCATTCACAGAATCTCACTCATCTTTGATTTGCGTAGGCGTATTGCCTTTCAAAATGAAATATTTAATGACAGCTCGATATTAGATTTTCTTCATTTTCATAAAAACACTCACTCAAACGACTGTTACATAACTCAGACGTTAGAAATTTTCATTTCTCTTTTAATTAGTCAAGGTTCTTATTTCCGTTTTCAACCTGTCGTCTTAGCAATGGCATATATGTACGATCTATTTCGACAGAGTTACCTGTTAAAAGAATATATGCGGGTTCTTTGAGTTTTTCTTATATTCCTGTCTTATCCTTATATATTCACGATGTTCATTTTTTTTCTCACATCTAGGGGCCTTGAGGTTTCAGATTGTGGAAAGATCTTAGACGTCAACGATATTCGGTACTTTTAATCCCCTCTTTAAGAACCGCTTCCTCCCCCGTCGAGGCGTAAGTGCAATAAAATTCATATCAAAAGTAGTAAAAAGAATTATGAAGTGATTACTGCTTACTGAAAATGTCCTAACGAGTTATAAAGATATTAAAGATATATCATATCAATTCAAGAACTTTCCTCCTCAACAAATTTCGAAAAAAATAGCTAAGGAAATAATGTTGTGGTTAACACCAATGATTTCGTAGTCAACGCTTTACAACCACCAAATATAGTGTGGTTAGAAATGAAACATTGCCCATATATGAAAAAGAAGAGAGGCGGTACTCCAACCAAATTCGAATAGTATCAAAAGTGAGAGACTTGATGTTTTCAAAAGTTTTAGGAATTTTCAAGTAATTGAGACCATTCATCACAAAATATTGCAAAGCCTCTGAAATTTTTAACTACTTTATTAGTAAATTTCATTATTTTTCTTTGCTTGCTATCGTTGAGGTACTGTAGACTTGACTGATCTCTGGAGATGCTCTCGCTACTAGAATATTCGGACAAGTCTATGTGAGTCCGCTTATCGTGAAATGATCATCAAATGTAGGCCTAACCTCTGAGTTCTAACATAGAAGTTGGAAATTCCTCGATGGAAATGGTAATTCAGATTTGGTAATTTAATTGTACTCTATAAGAAACCCATTATCATTTTGCCGTTTCTTTCTTCTGAAAAGGCAAATTTCACTATTTCTGACTATTGGATACAGCTTGTTTACTTGTTTAAGCTTCAGTTCTCTCCGCGTTCATTCCAATAACAAACCTACACACTCTATAAACAAACATAATCCGTCGGAATATTCATAAGGTTTTTTGCCACCATGTCTTTCCCCTCCTGTATTAGAGCAGCTTAATTATAGTGACTAACAGTCATTATCTGTGATGTTACACAAGGTCAACAAACCACCTCTATGGAACGTTGAAACATACAGTGTGAGCCCTATTTTCTGTATCGTCTTTGAAAATGCAATAAGACTCAATTCAATGCAAGTTTCTTATTATGTTCGAATGCATTTAGAAATTTTGAACGGTTTATTTCTTTCTGCTTGAAGGATTTTGTTACTGTTCCTCTTTGAAAAGAGTTTACGTAATAAATGAACACATCTACAAAATCATTATTTTTCATAGAGATGCATCAGTGCTGCAAGATTTACGTTGGATGTGATTGTTTGAAGATACTTTATATTTATGATAAGAACTTTATGGAGACTTTTTATAATTTTTATTTCTGGTAAAATATAACAACTGAACTTGACAATATATAACAACACACAACCATAGAAACATCGAATCAAAAACATCTAAATATAATGTGGCTCAAATTCATTTTTGTTGTTAATCTCCAACAGTGATATATTCTTGAAAATGAAAAGGGGCTGGATTGTAAGGAATTGTAAATATAATAATTGTTAGATATAAAAGTCTGTGATATAGGAAGCCATTGTTGTTATGAATTCAACCTAGTATTGATTGGAGTGTAACAATTTGTTTTCAAGATTGTTCTCATTCGTTCATTCTGCAATTTCTGTTATTGAGACAATTCATTCAGGCTAAAAAGATATAGAACTGATGAACAGTAATCAAAGTGGGGTTGTGTTGTTGGAGGTAATTCATGTTTTCATAGATATAGACAAGCAGAGATTCCTGGAAAGAAACCCCAAATATTTCATAAAAGTAACAAATTAGATGTTCTCATCTCGTCTATTCAAATTTTGAGATCAACTATGTCAATTTTTGAGTACTTAGATTTCATAGTTATAACGATAGCCCTAATCTTCATTATAGGCAAAAACATGTTTGGGTTTCGGGAGGAAAAAGATACAAATGATGATATCTTCTCTTTTTTATATAAAATTTACTCTGAATTGAATGCTGGTGATTAATTACGTCAATCATAAAATTTTACTAAAAAAAACTTCATAAATAAGGATGTAGAGGTGTAACGAACACTCGGTTCGAATCGTACCTTTCTGGTCAGAGTCAAATTGTGAGGACAACGGAACTCTTGGAAATTCCAATGAACGCTGCCATATTACAAATTAAATTAAACACAACATTTCTCGGTATATTCATTGATAATAGACTGAAATTTGATGAACACCTTAAACAACTCAAGAGTAAAATCTCTTCCGGATGTTATGCAGTTAGAGTGGGTTTAAATGAGTTGGGTTTCCATAGTACGTCCTAAAATAATCCTCTGTGGTACACCTACAAAATTCTCTTCTTTACCAGAAAAGACCCCTTACTCACCCGTACTTTTTGTTTCCGTGCTTGCCATTATCCCTTCAGTCGCCTTAATCAATTCAGTGAATATATCGATGAATTACATTGACACTGGTTTTTTCTTGTTTCAGAAACAAGTAACAGACGTCAATAATGATGAGGTCGAGGTGGATATTGATGAACTTCTAGACATGGACAGTGATGAAGAACGACGAAGGCATTTACAGGTATAACTCCTATCTAAAAATTCCTTCTCTAATAGATATTAGTTATCGCTTCTCAATTTGTTCTTTAATCAAGGAATACAGGGTGTAACTAAATAAGTGTAAAAAATTTAAGGGGGTGATTCCTCATCGAAAAAAGATAGGATCTTTCATATAAATAAACTTCATTGGAATATCCCTTGTTAAGATACAGCCCCTTAAAGGGTGTACATAAAATTTGTATAACAATTTTTTTCACAAGCACTAAAAATGTTACAATATTGAAAATAACCTAATGTTTTGTACTATCAAAAAGACACTTAGCCAGTAATTTATTTGGTTTACCCCATGGTTGTAAGGGGTGGAAAACGCAACCCCTAAAATTTATTTCCAATGTAACTTTTTGTCTTAATATTTGTTTACCATTTCAAAATTTATTTCCCATAGCCTGTTTCATTCTAAACAAAAAATGTCTCTTGGGTTTTTTGCCCAAAATAAACCAGTTCGCAGCAAAAAATTTCATCAGAATCAAATAGATATCAGATCAATCTGTCAACAGGAAGGGGTTCAAACTTCAATTGCTGAATATGACCCAAACAAACAGAGCAAGCTAAATAAAACCGTTTGAGTGGAAGAAAAAGCCCTTCCTATTGGCTTTTGAAATATGGATATTGTATCTTGTAACAACTGAATTTCAATTAAATGACTGAGATGTATCTATGTTACTTGTTTCAAGTAACAACTCATTGTTAGATTTTGAACGAACAGTTTACAAAACCGCAACACGTGTTTTGCTATACAATAGCCTCCTCGGGATTGTTCATATTCTTCAGTATTCTATAGCGAAACACGTGTTAAGGTTTTGTAAACTGTTCAGCGAAAACCTCTCAATAATACATTATGGATTTTCATCAAGTATCGGTCAATTATTTTCGTAAATCGTCCGAAGATAACCTTTCTGATATCTTCTTGTTCCAATTCTTTAAAATTGGTCATGGCAGATGTACGTCAATTGTTCAAAACTTGTGTTTTTCGTGACAGTGACAATAATATACTTACAAGATTCGTAACACCTAGAATCATATTATGTTGTTTTGTTACCACTGGGTTATTTTTGTTCAAATATGTGCATGACTGTATGTAAATATTTCAAATATCACATACATTTTAATTTTCAATTTGGATCTTAAATTACTTTCGATGATAAACCTCAGACTTTTCGCTTGATCTACAATGGGCAAGACAATGTAAAGTATTTTTATTTTCGTTTTGTATTAAACTATCCCCCTGTCATTCTTTAGTCTAAAAATTGAAACACTTGACGTGCTTGTTTTTTTAGAACTGTACATTGGTGACTATTTTAATTCTACCTATTTGAGCGGTGATTTTCGTCTTTGAGAAGGGATATCGTTAATAATTCTTGTCGAACATTGATTTTTAGAACTAATTTTAAATTAATTTAGGCATCTATTATGAATATTATTGAAATCGTATGCCAGAAAACTAGAATACCTAATTTCTCAATGTATAACATTGATGATACAGAAATTAAATACTTATTTTTACAATTAGCGCGTGAAATAGAACGAAAGCGGCGTAATATATTTTATTTTAACAACCGATTGCTTACTTCAAAATAATAGTTACTGATGGATTTGCCTTTTATATTTATCATATTGTCTTAAGTCATACCTAGTTTAACAAATCCCCAGTCCGATTTAATTTCAGTTGTCTATTAGATGTTGGGATCATCGAAAGTGGAGTGTCTTTTGTGAAACAATTAATTCAGAACTGAAAAAAGAAAATAGATTTCAATTTTATGTACAATAAATATTCGTTAGGACAACAAGAGGATTGCTCCGAATTCTTGGGGTTCTTGTTGAATACCTACTTTTCGTAAGCAGAAAAATAGCAGAATCAATACTCCTGACCTCTCTGGATTGAATGATTCCGTACTATCTCGTCTTGTGTTTGTAGATATTTTGCTGAAAAAATCCTCACTTGTTTACTTTGTAGTAGATGTTCAAGAGGTAGCAAAAACGTATGTGATTTTCTGAAAATCAACTGTATTGCCAAACATGCGCCAAAATGACTGACTATTACAAGAAAACAAGTATATCTGAGGCACCAGTCAACCTAATAATAACACTGATGATCTTCAAACATGATTCAACCTCTGACGGAAGCACCAAATTCTTACGAAGGTTCGAAATAGATGAACACTTAGCAGACCACTGTTATGATCTTCATGTAGTCATTGTTCACTGTAGTTCTGGCGTTGAATCTGGCCATTATTAAGCAGTGGTCAAAGACGAAACAGACTGGTTTAAATTTGACGATAGTCGTGTCATTAAGTGTTCTGGCGATGTCTTGAATCTATTGGAGCATCTGTTGATACCCTACATTTTGTTTGACGAAAAAGCGGACATTAAATCAAGATCTTCTGATGGTGTTGTGCAGCAGATTTTTCCGGGTTTTCCTGCAGCTGAAAAAGCAAATCCGCCACTGGAATCAATGAAGTCGCCCCGGAGCGCCAATAAATTTTTGTTGTTTCATAATTTCATGATTTACATTTCAACATACATAGGAATATTACTGTCATTTAAAAAAAAATTCAATATTAGTTTATCATTTTCAGCTAAAAATAGCAACTTGATACACTCTTTGGAACCTTTGGTGTAGTAATGAATCAAATTGATCTTGAAGATGGTCACTTGGTGATCGAACACGTGTCGAGGTGTTAAAATAATGGTTTGGTGTTGAGAAAAAGCTCCATTAATATTCAAAAATAGCTAATTTATAAAAACAATTGATAACATGCAAGTTGCTCGTATACATATCGGGCCAAAAACACGAAGAGAAAGAAAACATATTGTATCAATGAAAAAAGTGAGATTTTCATCAAAAAAATTGTATTTATCATTTCATTTTATAAAATTACAAAACCTCATTAATTTAAATGATGTTGCTCTTAAGCAAGAGATGAAGTAGAGTAGTCAACTTGGTTGGATGAAACGCGCGTCGGGAAGAGTATTGAAGTTGGTGTTTGGGAACAGTACTTGTTTTCGACTTATTTTACGCCTGAGATTTCAGTTCTTTCTTTCATTTCAACGTTGTTTGTTCTGAAAAATCTTCTGATTATAGGAATCCTTACCAGGCGAGCCTAGTATGATCATGTATCATAGACTCGGGTAGAGTCTCTGACAAGTATTTATTTTACGATAACAATAATAATGAAAAATTAGTTAAAGTGGGACACCGAGAGAGGTATCATAAACTGTCAGGATGGTGTTTTCGACATCTTAATTTACCTTATACTGCTGGGTGTAGATGTTCTTGACTCCAGATGCACAACCTACCAAAATCCACTTGAAAATATTCAGACCTTCTACAAGCCATTGTTTTCCGCATTTAGAAAACTTTCATTCGTAGATGTTTTCTATTATACAAATCTAAAGAAGAAGTCTGAAACAACTCTGTCATGTGAAACGTCGCAGGGATCACTTTCACGTATCTAAATTATTTATTTGGATTTTCTTAGTTTTGGTTGGCACTAGTATTATCTAGCGGTAACAACCTCTTCGAAATGCAATACTCCTTTTGACGCGCGTTCCACCAACCAAGAAGACGTCTTCAGGAGATGAAGGAAACTTCATCCAGCAGTCTAGCAGTGCATGCGTGGTTCAGCCAACACCTCTGATTAGATCTGTGGAGGGGGGACACAGCGCTGTCTGAATTCTTAGTTTTTGGACAATGGTTTCAAATGAGTTGTCGTCGGTGATTTCCCCATTAGAATATTCCATTATTTTATGAGGATTGGTTTGCTTTCCACAGCATCCCGCCCTGCCAAAAAATTGTTTGTCTTCCAATAAGAATAAAGAATTCTGTAGGTTTGATGTCTACCTGATTATAAAACTGTTATCTTTATTTATATTTGATTTTCACTCGAATATTCACATTGGGATTGTTTTATTTTTTATTTTACAGAATCTACTAATCAACGCCAAAGGATCCCAAAGTGATATAAAGGTAAGTAAAAATAGTTAATGGCAACTTCAGAGTATTCTTTCTTGGGATATGTGATTGCTGTTCGAATTTTAATTTGATCAATGCTTATAACTCAATAAATAACATAAAATAAATGATATCCTCAAGAAGAGGACTAAAAATTAATGCCATGGTTGACATACTCCAACTCAATAAACAAGTTTTTACCGTTAATGTCAAAAACTTCAATGTAAAGATATTATCTTTACATTGGCATAATCTTGCATATTAAAATCACGAAGAACTAAATGTTATAGAAAATAAATTGAGTATTGAAACAAAATTGAGAAAATTTATTTTGGAAAATTTGAGGTAGGGTAGACCGGGGACAATTGAAACATTTTTGCTTCTTGAATTTTTTTCTCTGCAGCTATAGCAAATTTCTTAATTATGACATGGGTAAAAGGGAGCATATTCAATCGGGTTTCTATTTACATCATTTCGTTCGCCTAAAATGATAGATGAATAAGATATAAAACAAAAACTGTAGCTCATCAAACTATTTCAATCGTCCCCTTACCGGGGACGAATGAAACATATACATGGGACAATTGAAACAGCATTCAGATTAGAGAAATATTTATTCTAATACAAAATAAATTACATTAATAATTAAAAATATTCATTTTGACAAGCAATTGTGACACATGCAAAGATCTTCTTGTCGAGTACATTCTTCGTGGGACCAGTGACGACATTCAATGCACCGCACCCATTTCTCTACAGGGCGACGGTTTCAGGCAAACTAGACAGTAAGTTTCTTCTTCGTCGCTTGCACTCTGTTCCTGATTGTTTTGGCGTTGTTTGGTTTTCTTGAGTTGGCGACCTGCCTTCGGCATGTCTTTGAACTCCGTAACTTTTCTCTTGACTTTCCTTTTTTTTGCGTCATACTCCTCTTAAATTGCATTTTTTTCAGGAGTGTCCGTATAGATAGTAGATTTCCTAGTTTTTCGTTTGAAACATGTTTTCCTAGGCGAAGCTTTCGGCAACGGTCTAACGATTTCTGGCAAGAATACGGCCTTTGAAGTGCTTGGTTCTGCATCAGCACGTGAAAATACAAATTTTGAGGTGCTTGGTCCTGCGTCAGCTTGCGAAAATATGAGTTTTGAGATGCTTGGTGATGCTGGCGGAGTGCGATGAGTGCTTGGAGATGTTGATGGAGTGCAATGAGTACTTGGCGATGCTGGAGAAGTGTGATGAGTGCCTTGTGATGCTGGTCTATCCGTGACATACGAGGGAGCAAAATCTACTTCCGTGAATATTATCTCTATTAAAGGGACATATGCCAGTTCTAATAAATCCAGCTACGATATTTAACTGTGAGGGCTAACGGCAGAGCTAGTTTGACTATGCTTGGGATATCGTAAATTGTCATTGTTTTGCCTGGGTTATTTCTCATCCAGGCATCGCAACTTGAATTTACAGCCTTCTTAAAAGGACCGTAGACAGATCGATCTAGCGGTTGCAATTTGTGGGAACAATATGGGGGGAAAGACAAGATGACAATGCCATTTTCTTTGCAGAAGTCCAAGCATCGTATACCTATGTGTGACTGATGATTATCAAGTAAAAGCAATACTTTATTTTCAATTGAAGCATTGGTGTGCTTTTGAAAATGGTTGAGGTATATCAAGAACTCATCTTCTTGCATCCAGCCGCTCGCGTTTCCTGCTCCAATACACCCCACTGGACCGTCACGGACGAAGTGATCCTTGTATCTCAACCGTGGGAATATAAAAATGGGGGGTACACTGTTGTTCAAATTTGTACCTGTTCGTAACGTTGAAACTAGTTGCTCTGGAAAGACTTGTTGCTTGAGCGCAGCGGATTGAAAGTTTTGGATTGCGTTTCATAAATCCAGAAAACCAATCCTCTCCTGCCATGGCATTTTGTCTCCATGTATCAGGCATGTTCAGCGAATATTTCACGGCCAACTGAAAAGCTAATTTCCGAATTTCTTTGGGTGGTAATCCGTAAAATACATGCGCTGCTTTGATTATATAGCCAACAATAATTTTTTCCTGGTTCACGTCAAATACTCGCCTCACACAATGATAACCCATAGTGACAGGAACAGCGGATTCTTGCTCAATTGCTTGCTTTTTCTTCCTAATAAATCTACTCAAAGAGACGTAATGTAGTTCATATTTAGCTCTGCTGACCTTATCGAAGCATTATTTTCAGTAACCTCTTTGTAAACTTCTTCATATGCCAAAATAGATTTTAATCCTCTCTCAGTTTTTCTCACTCTCACTCGTGGCATCCTAAAACAAAAGTTAACACCTTAACATAGTACACAACCTACAATATGAACCACATGAAAAATTCACAACGAGGACGATTGAAACATGTTTCAATTGAAACACGTCATGTGTTTCAACTGTCCCTGCAGCACATTTTTGAGTGAACACTCAAATATTTTCTTACTCTTGGATTAGAGTAATAATTTAAAGTATCCCGACTAAAGGGCATATACCAAACAAAGTAATAAATATAGTCGAAGCTGGATACTTAAGTTTTTATCTCTTGTAACACACTTTTTCAATCAATGTAAAAGTTTACTTCCATAGCGGGAAATCAAGTTATCGTGGACGTGCACATACACTCACAACTGCCGTCAGTGGCCGATAGATGGCTACGTGCTTCATCTAATGGCGCTTCGTTTAGTATAAGCGCGCGTGAATCAAACCGCGAAATCGGTCTACTATGGCGGTTGTTTCTATTGTCTCCTGTTTCAATTGTCCCCGGTCTACCCTATATAAGTTTTTTATTCGCAGATAATTCGAAATTAATTTGATTTCGGCTTATAATTCCACGAGAATTCTTAATTTTTAGGTAGGTAAATATATACTGCACGATTATCAAAGTATTTCAAAGTAATATTTGCTCATCTTCCGTTGTTATATATTGTCTAATTCATATCCAATAATTTCTTCATATAACTTTTTTCAAAATGATATTTCTTTCATGATTCTATAAATGTAATAAAACAATCATATTTACCCAACAATTTTTTAGGCAAGAGCTTACATCACTCATCAAATATATTCACTTACGTACGGCTTGTCAAATCTAGAAAAATACTTGAGAATTATCTTTCTCTATCTCTCTTCCCTCTCTCTCTTCCCTCTCTCTCTTCTCTCATAGTCTTCTAACGAACGCACATCTAGTGGGCGGGACCATATAACGGAATTCTGAAAGCTCTTCCTTCATTTGACAAGCTGTACTTTATGTTTTGTATATGTGTGTAAATAATCATTATTATTACCATTACCCGTGCTCTCCTCAAATATGCCCATTAATAACCTGAATGGACCATGTAAGATGAGTGTGATCTCTTTTTTTTGCACATGAAATAATCAGTCAATCACTGCAGGTGGTTCTCTTCGAATTTAAAGAGTTTTGTATTCCAATGGTCGAGCTTATATGCTTTTCGATTAGTTGTTTTCTAGAAATAACTGAAAATTTTATGACAGATATGAAAAGGCAATAGAAGTATCAATGCACCTTTTGATGTATGTTAATATTATCTCACATCATCATATGAATATACAGGGTGGTATAATCCGAATGCCATGTGGACGCCCACATGATATGCTTATTTGGACATCAATCCAGTGTCCTTGTGTTGTTTGAACCTGAAACAATATTTGTTGTTCAGACCCCATAAATGATTAATATTGCTTTACTCTGATAGTCAAAGTCACCTTCATAAGGCTTGTAAGCTTATATTTGTCTGTCATTACAGACTTCCTATAAATCTGGTATTTCTCATTTTTAATATAATTATAATACAATATCAACCTGAATAATATACGAAGTCAATTTGAATGATATATTAACTAAATAGTTACCGAACGTCGGCAGTTTTTTTGTATGGCAGCGGCGTGGTATAATTACGTCGTATAATCATTATTTTTATGTGGGAGGTTTTATATGGTATTAAGTAGTAAATTTCACAGACCCGGTGCAATAGTTTTTTATTTAGCTGCTCGAATTGACTTCATGTAGACTGTAATAGTATATAACAATCGAAGCATCTGAATAACACTTTGATTATGTTCCATTATTTTCTAGTTTAATAATAGGGTTCGTTAGTAGTTACGAAGACACGGTTATTCATATGGATTCTTGTTTTATTTTACTAAAAACTGTGTTAATAAACTTATTTTGTTTCAGAAATTCATCACTGATTTATTAGATAAGGCAAAGACTCTTTAAATCAAGTGAAGTGCCAAAGGTTAGACCGAAGACATTGGCCCCCCAAAGGAGCCTAATTTGCACAAGATTCAGTGATTATTTATCTCTACATCGATGATCATCATTGGAAATCAACTATATATTCCATCCTGATTTGCCGAGCATAATTTAATAACGTTTCATGACATATAGATTGTATAGTCAAAGAATGAATGTAGATAAGTACAGCATCATTGCAGCAATTTTTGCCAATGGCATCGTTAATATGTTTTCTAATTTTTTATACTTTTAGCATCAATCGTAGTTAAGATTATTTATAATGAAAAATATTGCTAGTCCTCAGATTGTTATTCAAATTATAGGAATCATATCAGACTGCCTTTTGAATATGAATTTTGTACCCATATACACGTCCTTTTATCATCTCTTACATATTTTAATCGTTAAAACAGATCACAAAATAGAACATAGGATTTGAATTTTCATCATTATGCTACTATATTTCCCATAATAATAAAAAAGTCAACAATTTCAATAAAAACCGGAGTATAGCAATTCAAAAAGCATTTTGAAACTAATTTTATATATCAATCAACAAATATCCGTTATCATGTATAAACATATTCAAAAGTATACAATCGTAAACTGAAAAATCGAAGGAAGTTGACCATACATAGGTATACATCTCTCACGATTCCAATCCAAAAACTGATTATTTTGAAGTTTGTTCTGGTGTTCTTCCACGTCTTCTTTCAAATATACCAATATATTTTCTGCATTCATTACCTAATCAATATTATTTTGATGTCATGTTCATTAGTAATATTTCAAGTAAAAATTATTTGACTTGCTCACATTCTAATATTCATTATGTTGGTGTTAGCACCTTTGCAATCTCATCTACCTTTGAGGTCATCAGGATTTTTGTAATCTCATCTACCAATGATGTCATCAGACTAGTCAGTATTGTTGAATAAGTTCTACATATATGTAACTTCGTAATAATACAACTCTAAATCTGATTCAACTGTTTCAACACGTTCTAAAATCCAAAGAGAATATGCAAGTTCAATGAATAAATTTGCCAGGAACTTTTCCTGATTGACTTGTATGAAATATCATCGATTATCCCAACCCAATTCTACCAATGAGCAAAATCTATGTTTTTATTTTGTGATTTGGCGTATACTAATTTAAGTTTTAAAGATTGTTGGAAATCATTTATTGTTGGTTAAATTGAGAAAATCATATCAGTGCTCAAAATTTAATAATGTGGTGCATGCGAGCTTCCCCCAGATGTAGGTATTGGCCTCATGTTGTTTTATTTTTAATTATTGTACTTAGAACCTAATGCAGATTGATCAACTTTTGTGATCTCAATTATTCTCAATTTCGACAAATAAGGTGTTTAATATTTGGTAGGTGTGTATAGTTAAATAACTTTATTCTATTGGTAAATATCGTCAGTTATCTTTTCAGTCTCGTTACTAACTAGTAGTCAAAATCTTGGAGGAATTTTATTTCAAATGTATAGCACTAAGACGAACCTTACCTCCACTGCACCTTTCTATTGACCGAGTCCATGGGAAAGTGTTTCTTATCTTACGGGACAGTTGTAATCAAAAGTCCGTTGGTATAACAAGCCTATACTTTGCCAACTGTAAGAATCTGATATGTACAATTAGAAATTTTTCTCATATTGCTACAATTTGGGAATAAAACATCACATATAATTTGAGTTATGAGAAAAATAAGTGTATCAGATACTTCACATTTTGCAGAGTATAAAAGTTTCGTGTCTATGTCACAAGAATCATTATAGATGACTTTAACAGGTCAGAGGAAAGAAATCTCATGAGATGAGAATAGTGATACCCACCTATTTGTTATTCAGTTGGAATTTGAATATGTTAGAAATTTTTGTGAAATAAATAGAAGTTATACTGGAGTTCATTTCTATCGCTTGGCCCTATATCATATTCCTTCAGTTGCAATTGTAAATTTGTTTAAACTTGAAAGCTCACTATAACTTATACAAAAAAATGTGGCAATCTTCCAAATACAGGAACAAAGCAATCAATTTCAAAAATGTAACTTTATACAAAGATGTGTAGATTATGCAAAGAATTAACTTTCAGACACAAACTGGATAAACAGTCCTCTTGAAACAGCAAATTTCATATAAACCGCGCGGCCGCGGTGGTAGTGCGCCCGACTCACGATCGGAAGACCGTGGGTTCGATTCCCGCCTCGATCAGATATTTTTCTCGAGAGAATTTATCTGGTTGAAGCTGGGATGATTCTGCAACCGTTTTAGGAATCACACGTTAAAAGGTAAGACCTCGTTAGTCCTTAGCTCACACAAGTTTCTCAACTTCTGAGAGTTGTCGTTCGTATGGGGGCGACAGCTGATTAACGGAAAAACAAATTTTAAACAGAGAATTACACGAAAGAAAAATACTTTTGAAACAGCTACTTTTATATGGACACTGAGTTATACAGAAAACACTTTTCTCTATTCAGTTTGTATTCCAAACATTCGTCATGGAACTGAATCAGATATCATTCATAGGATTGCTACACTATAGTAAATGAAAGAGTAGCACGATCTTGATAGCAGTAAAATTCTGTTTACAGCAAAAACACACCACTAAGAAGAGAGAATTCTCGAATACAAGATTGGTAAAAACCTCGCAAGAACATCAGGTTGAAATTGTTGGCAGTTGCCAACTACAGATCATATAAAGGTGTATTATTGGGAAATGCATTACTTATGGATAGATAAGGGACACCCAGACAGTTCTGAAGCCTATATATAATGGGTATCAGATTCTTTAGATTCAAGGATGTTGGGTGATTTATTAATTTTGCTCAATTCTTCACATACAACTTTTTTTATAGTTGCAGGTTCGTTCTTTGAAAAAGTTAACAAATATGAATCACTTCAAAAAGCAACCTGTAGGTATTACATCAGAATTATGAAACTTTGCATACAAGCATTTCTGAAAAGATGAGGAAAAACTAAATTACTTCTAATGTCTGGTATTTCGGCATACAATTTTATTACGTATTTTATCATTACCCATGTGTACAAGGTTTTTCTGGTAGAATCATACAATGATGTAAACATCAACAAAGATATTTTCTGGCAAGGAAGATTCCGGAAATGTTACTGAAGCATTTCAAAAATAAAATAAAAATAATAACCATCTAAACAAATAACTTTGGCTAGTACAGTGAAATCTATGACTAACAGCAAAAAACTTAAAAATTCTCTATAAATTTGGTCATATATGCAGCTATGCAACAATTCAAAGTCTAGAAACTGAAGCTACATATTCTCTCACGGAAAATCCATGTATTTCTAAATCTCGTACATTTATCATTATTTATTCCCACTTCATCAAAACAACTGTTGAAAAAAATGGTAATAGAAGTTGTGTCGTTTTAAGTGTGTTCTCCACTGGAATTGATAAAAATCTCTTATGAAGTAACATTAACACTTGTGTCATCAAAAATTGTCTACCACTCTCGTCTGCACACGGTCTATTATTTTTATTTTATTTATTAAGTAATCTACAGAACAAGCAGTTCCAATAATCGATTACAATATCAAAAACTAATTAAATAACCATTCCCAATATAATACAATGACTAAAACTAAAGTTATTCCAAATTACCTGAATCAAAGTCAAATTGAAAGACACGTTCAGTTGAAAATAACAAATGGACCCTTTTCATTCAAATTGACTCTCAGTTACAATTAGTAATAATTTTTAAGGTTGACAAGTTTTTACATTACATTTGACAAAGAAATCTATATTCCTCAAACAATTTCCTAGAGAACACATATTGTATAGTGGGGAATTTAAACCTAGATTGGTTCGAGGTTTAGGCAAAACAAATATATCTTTCCTTCTAGTATTGAAGTATGTACCTACTGCAGTTCAGATAAATTTTTGATAACAAGTGTGGATTATCTACGTTATTATGCAATAGCTAATAAAAACGCAAGTTTTCTTCTAAATCCTAAAGTTGTGAATTTGAATTCATTCAAGGGAGTATGATAACTAAGATTGAAAATATATTCATTTTGAGTTCTGTACAAAACCATATTGCCTATCAGTGATGACATTATGTTTGTGAAAAAAATCCAACAGTCTTTTTTTTACCACCTTTTCAAATATTTTTGCTAAGTTGTTTATAACAGATATTGGTCTATAATTACTTGGTTCACGACGGTCACCTGATTTGAAAATTGGAGTGATGAGAGACTCTTTCCATTTCTGTGGAATTTTTCCACTTGATAAGCATAGATTAATTATGTGTGCTAGTGGGGATAGGATAAATTCATGAATGCATTTTATGGTTTTAACTGAGAGTTTGTCTGGACCTCAAGAACAATTATTTTTCAGTTTAGATATCTGAATAATGATTTCATTTTTTGTTGCAGGTTCTGAATATATGGTTGAATCATTTCTTGCTAAGGAGTGTCTGGCTGAATTCATTTTGCAAGGAAACAATGGCAGATGGTAAAACTTTGGTCAAAGTTATTACTTTTTTTTAAAATAAAAAATATTTTTCAGCTGTATGAACACGGTCAATTCGTCTGCCAATTGATAATTTGTCTACTCAGTATGTTCATATATATTGCAAGGAAACAATGGCAGACGGTAAAATGTTGATGAAAGTTAATAATTTTTTTTGCAAGTTTATTCGCGTCTGTCTATACTTTAAACATTGCCAATTTGTCTGCCAATAGTTGTCGCATGACATATAATTGTTGAACTTCATTACATTCAAGAAACAGACGGTAAAAAATGGTTCAGAGACACTATAAAAAATTGTTAATTGACTAATGCCTATAAATTATTAATACACCGGCAAACCGTCTGCCTTGTGAAAATTCGTTCATTTCATGCTACCGTCAGTCTACGCTGTACTTGGCAGACGGTAAAAAATTGATTTTATTTAACTTTTTTTTTTGTTGAAAAAAAATTCATGTTTCAGCCAGAACACCATGTAACCGTCTACCAACTATTTTTTTTGTGGGTTGTGTAACCTAGCCTCCCGGTTGCATAAATAGCAGACGGTAAAATGTTTGTCAAATAAGCTTTTTTTGCAAACTAGAGTGGATGTTTAAGCATATGTAACATGGGCAAGAAATTCGTTCAACACATAATTTTGTTGCTTGTGGCTGTAAATATTTCCCTTGAAAAAGGCAGACGGTAAAAAATGGGATCAAAATTTCTGTCACGGGCTCCTGGTATAGAAGACAACCTGGAATGCTATCGGAAAACGAATCCACATAAGTATTTCTAGAAATGATATGAAATCGAGAAAGGTTATTGCAGTCAAGCTGCATGAAAATCAAATGATCATTCCCATGTTGATTACAATTAAGAGGCACCGGTAGCTGTTTCAGTCCATTGGGCATCGTCAGTACCGGTCAGGCGGTCTTGGATTGAAGACAAAATGTGAATAACCAAGAAAAGTAATAAAAATAACTGCGTAAACGCAAGCGAGACATAAGTGGAACCACCTATTGATGCAACACCCAAGTCAACTTGCCAAGTTTTTGTCAGTGCATTTACGCAGTTATTTTTATTAGGTATTTTTCTTGATTATTCACATTTTGTCTTCAATCGAGGACTACCTGCCCAATACTGACGATGCTCAATAGGCTGAAACAGCTGTCTACTAGTTGCTCTTAAATTGAAATCAATATGGGAGAGATCAGAATAGTGCTTATCTATTAATCTTTTGATTTTCATGGAATTATTTTTCAGCAGCTCAACTGCATAAACCTTTCTATATTTGACATCATTAATGAAAATAAACTTGTAGGCGCTCTTTTTTTCAACCTGTCTAGTGCATTTTCCACAATAAAGCACGAGTTTTCACAAACTAATTTGGAGGCAATAGGTATGCGAGGCCCAATTCAACGCTGGATTGAATCTTACATATCTAGTAGAACTCTCGGGGTGCAAATCAAGAATGAGCTATCTTTCTGCTCTATGTTGATGATCTACCTAGTCACATTAGGCAGGTACGCACATTTATTCATGCGGATGACACTGCAATTGTTGTTGCAGCCAATACTGCTTCTGATTTAGAAAATAAAATTAGATCGGATACAAAAGAATTCACAAGTTGGTGTAAGGTGAACCATCTTATTAACAATGGCCGGAAAACCATTTTCATGTTGTTCACAATCTCACAAAGAATAACAATGGCTAGAAATAAGTCACAATCAGCACGATATTTAGATCTGGAACTTGACAATAAACACATTCGGCAAACATGATGCTGTTTGTAAGACATCAAACAAACTGTACTATGCTTTCCACAAGCTGAAGTCAAATTTCCAAAAGTTAATTCAAATTATACATTCGTATATAGCTGCAACATTATTGTAAGGGGAACGTCCAGAGAAACATCTAGTCTTTGTAATCCAGAATAAGTTCATCGGAATGATATTTGATCTTGACCATAGGGAATCATGCAGAAACGTATTTACCAACAATATTTTGACACATATATATTTATCTATACAAACTATTGATATATACCTTCACTAACAGAGGAAAACTGAATAACAATAGCGAGTACCTCAAATATGATGCCAGAAAAAAAATGACTTCCATCTCCAAAACACACTCAGATCACAGCACAAAAGATTGCCTTCATATGCTGGAGCAATCCTTTTTAACCTGTTACTGACGGTATTGTTAATGTTAGCAACTTGTTTGACGTGTCTCATTTTGTTGTAAACACAATCTGAAGAAATCAATGAAGTATCGATATATCTATCTAAACATCTAAAAAAAACAATCATGTGTAGGTGAAATGCACAGTAACATACCAAAAATTAAAAACAGTCAGGAATCCCAAAAATTCAAACCAATATTCTGGACAGTTTGAAAGAAAACATCTAAAATTTACTTGATAGAAATTTTAGTGTTGAATTTAAATTAAAAAAGGAGTTTATTCCACAGAGAATATATGTTCTTCGTTCTTTACGATCAGGTATTTTAATTCCAAAAATTAGATCAAATATGGGATCCTAATTAGATAGGATGGTGGCCTGGTGGATTGAAGTGGGTGGTTTGCTCCACTCGATATGGAATCCCATAAGTATTTCAAGAATGGCAAACAGCATGACAGCAGATATAAAGGGGTCAATGAATGTCATTGACAATTTACCTAATACAGGTAAAGGTATTAGCACACCAGACTACCTGTGTCAACATAAACATGCTTAACGAAATTCATGTAATCCAGATACAGGTATCAGCACACCTAACTACCTGGGTCAACATAAAAATGCATTGGGCAGCCATAATATCCAGTCATCAGAAATAACTCAGGATGTATAAACCTCTGAAAAAGCTAGCCACCCGAGTCAGTGAAAAGTCAGGAAAAGTTTACAAAAATCCACGGCCTTCAAGCTCGAAAAATAGTGCCACTGAAAACCTCGACTCAAAAGCCTTAACCATTGTCTCATGTTGTTGTAAACATAATCTTAAGAGATTTGGACAGTTTGAAGGCAAAATATCTAAAATTCTCTTGATAGAAATCTTAGTGCTGAATTTAGATTAAAAAGGGAGTTTATACCACAGAGAAGATAAGTTCTTCGTTCTTGATGATTAGGTATTTTAATCTCAAAAATTAGATCAAATATAGGGTCCTATTATAGTAATGAATTATTAGTTCAAAACATCTGTTACCTTCAATTTTGTAAAGTGGCTTTCAGTAAACAAACACTAAGCAGATGACAAGTGTATCCTCAAGTTGAATGTAACAATTCACACAACTTCAAAGTGAACCTAGTGATGGTTGTAATTCTGTGTGTAGTTTGAGATAAGTGTTCTACTTTTCATAACTCCTTCAAAAGTTTTGCATTTTTTTTTCAAAATAATGGAGCACAAATAAAAAACACTTGAAAAAATATTTCCTCTGGAAAGTTTTGGAAATAAAAATTAAAAGAAACTATGTAAAACAACAATACTACAATACTCTATTTAATAGAAATGTTCAATACATTACAGCATTGAAAAATGCAGAATGAAGAACTGACTTTATAGCAGAAACTGTCACAACTCCAGCTTGATTTTCAATGAGGATGCATTAACATAACAGGCTAATAAAATCACTCAGCTTCGTTGTTGTGGCATCGGAGGCATTATAGGGGGCGGAACTCCTCCTGATATTGCTGAATTTGGTCCTAAAAGAAGCTGTTTCTGTTGATTTTTTTGCATCTCTTCCACTTGAGCCCTCTCAACCTCAAATATGACTGGAGCAAATAAAATGATAGATGTACTGAATACTATCCACATGGCACTCCGTGAAAAAGTGTACGCCTTTTTTATTCCTGACTGTGTATTTGAAAATGTTGCATAGGTTATATTTCGAACTGGTTCTGGAAACATTTCTGTTAATCCCCAAAGTCGCTCAGCCAATGTTTCATCTGGCTAAAAAGAATAAAGAATTTGAATGAAAAAAATCAAAATTGTTTATTTCTCACAGTTAAGTTAGTTAAGCTGGATTTATAGAATGAGTAAGATGAACTTTATGCTAAGGCCAATTGTTCCATTAAAACAAAGTGGCAGATTAATGTGCATTCATTTACAAATGCCACTAGTAATGTAAAACATGGTTATATTTCATCTCTTGTAGAATATTTCATTAAGGACAACAAATCAGAGCACAGAATCCCTATTGTGTACTGAGGAGTTTTTTTTTTATTTTACCAAGTTAACATTTCGTAATAATACGTTTTCAATAGTTACTATATTATTTTTGGAAGGAAGGATGGTTATAGTTATAGATGGTTGACCAAATCAAAAATTTTACCACTTTTGAGTTACTATCTGGGATATTATTTAAGACTCCAAGGTTTTACATTCACACTCTGACATGCTCAAGTCTATTCAAGTGTTCAATAAATGTTCATTTTCCACTAATAAAAGGACCAACAATCAATCCACACTTATTGAGAAAAAGTTAGGTTAAAAACAATGTGAGTTAAACTTGCTCTTCATTTAGTTTTTTTTACATACCTCATCATCTTCGCTCTCATCAATTTCTAGCTGCTTTCTTGGTTTTGTTGAAGTTTCTTTTTCAAGTATGTTTTCTTGATCAAGAGACTGTGACCCTTCCTGAGATTCCATTCCGCTGTCGTTATCTTCAGCTGGTGCCATAAGATTATTCAAAATTAATAAAAATTTCACTTTGTTTTCAACTATTCAGAAAAATGACCCTATATGAACCCCGATTTATTTCAACACCAGTTTCCACACTATTCCACAGACTCAAAAATGAAAAATAAGTGACCAACAAAAAGAATAGGAAATGAACTACTAGAGATTTACTCCAAATCGCGCAGTCGTAATAGTGGAATTCGTACTATTCCGTAGGCGCGATTTGACTTACACTTGAAAGAAAGTAAAAAGAATGCGAATACTTACAAAATTTGCTAGGTATTTGGTCATCTGACAGAATCCAAAATAGTTTTCAAAATTTTATTTCAAGTTATTTTCATGAATGAAAACAATTGAAAACTAGAAACCCGTTTAGTGATTTTAAGATAGTTCCAAAAGTAACCAGAAATGAGTTTTAATGGTTCTAAAATCACACTATTGTGGTACTACTGAACAACAGTTTGATATGAAATAACTGTCCAACTATATATTTACATACAGTTGATATTAAATAAAAATTTACCCAATTTGCTCATTCAAGGGCTTCTGCATCGATTAATTGATAACCTTGTTCTATGCACAATTACATTTGATAATATGTGCATATCACAAATAATAACCCTAGTATTCCAAGGGATGGTTACCTTTTTTTCGAAAGGAGATTCTGATACAAACTTGTATTCCAATGTGAAGCAAACGGTTACAGTTTGCATATTATGTACTGTACAATTCCTTCAGTTTCAAGTATTATATAATCATAGTCACTCCACTGATAATTTCAATTGATGGTAATATGTGGAAAACTTACTCTACGGTCATACAGACTAAACATGTGCATAACTACACAGTACAATTAAAATCACTCTGGGTATTAATAAAAGTTATGAATAAAATATTAATAAGGAACAACATATTTTGATGATAACCCTTATTGGATAGATATTTCAAATAAAAGGTATAACCATTGTTAGACAATGGTATAACTAAAACCTCTGGAAAAATCCTCCTACAGGGACCAGATTTTTCAATTCATTTCCAGACATTTTGATGTGATTTCGTGTTTTTGAATTTTGTTCTTGTGGAGGTATTTATGAAATGTTTCACCAAATAAAAATTAGAAAGGACAGGAATTCATAAAGATTTTTTCGGCGTTACGGTATCCAAGAAAATGACGAAACGAATGAGATGCTGGTCATAACATTCGGTGCAGCATGGTGGGTTAATGTAGGATGAAAAAATTCCAGATTTTATTCATCAGGACTGGACTGAATGGTTGAACACTGTCAAAGAAATTTCTTCTATCAGAGTTCCTCGTTGCCATTCATTTTCTCCACTTCATGCAACTCATGCAACTACATACTTGGAGATGCAAACAAGAAAATATTCTCGTCCATAGTTCATCTCAAAATTGATTTAGGTAACAAAATTGAGGTAGCATTTGATACAGTCAAAGCTATAGTCAGTCCATTCAAACTGATATTAATTGGATTCACGTGCTGCCGTAATGGGCACTAGATTTCTGAAGACTGTACTTTCTGAAATTAATATTCCGATAAATAAGTCATATTTGTGGTCTGATTCCAAAACAGTCCTTCATTGGACCAGAGGAGATGGTAAAAACCGTAAGAAATTTATAGCTCATATAGTGGGAGAGGTACAAGAAGCTACTTATTTTGAACAATGGAGATTACATACCACCAAAATTCAATCGTGCTGATTTTGCAACTACATACAAAAGTCATCACAACATTGTTGGCAGTTGGTTCAGTAATAAAGTTAATTACCAAACAATGATGTCTCACAGGCATTTCAGGTCGAGGATGATGGGGAGAAGAAATTAACTTCACTTTCCGTTGGAGCCATGAAATTATCAACAATGGATATTCCAGATGTTTTTCGTTTTAGTGGGGAGCAGAATAAGAGTTTTCCCGACCAAATTATGCCGTCTAGATTGTTAGCCTAGTGAGTTGACGTATTTGTTTTGCCCCACTCACTCAATCGACCGCTGTGGTGGTTTGAACCATAAGGCCATACGATCGATTTTCACTTCCTATCGTCCAACCTGTATTAGGAATCACACGTTAAAAGGTAAAATCTCGTTAGTATTCAGCATGCACAAGTTACGACTTTTGAGAGTTGTCGTTAGTAGGGAGGCGACAGATGGTTAGCTGAAAAACAGATTTTAACAGATTTTTAACAGATATTTGTAGAGAGAATGTTGTAGATTTTTTTTATTTATTTTTTTAAATTTTCAATAATTTTGTTAATATCATTATGAGTAGGTACTCTGTGTTGAATAAAATTTAAATTTAAATTTGTCTTCATTATTATGTCACTTTTGTGAAAATAAATAGTCATTTGGAAAAGTTGATAAAAGTATTTGAAAATATCAGAAATGTCAGTTTTTACTAGAAAGCGATTAAGTTAATTCACGCCGGAAGTCCTAAAGTCATTGAACATTAAAAACATTAAAAAGTTTTGACATTGATTGAAATGCTTCAAGTTTCGCCATTAACAAAAATGTTTTGAATGTCATCATTGGCAATTTGTGCACTGTTTTTTTTTCATTCTGTTTCAAGTTCTGATTTGGGTCATTATTATAATTTGGTTTGGGACTGAGTGTCTGGTATTTACGAGAGCGAGAAATGAAAATGTGATAGGTTAGCTCATCGATCAACGTTAGGATCTGGCAGATGTTTCGGTTGTCATATTAAAAAAAAAAAAAGTATTTTTGTATTTGTTGGAAAATTGTTATCGCTTAATGAAATGTTCAACTCCTGTTTGTCGGCATACCTTCAGAAAAGAATTCATGAGAGTTCTTATGAACGTAATATTGACTTCTTTAACGCTTGTCATTCTCTAATAGTTGTAAAAAATTTTGTAAAAAATAAAAAACTATAAATTTCAGTTTTGTTGTCGAAAAAAACGTTACGCTCATATATTAGAAGTTTTATGAAAACAAATAATACAACAAATGTCAACAAATCTCCATTCGCTCGCTCGACTCCAGATTATCAAAACCGAATGCTTGCTGAGCGAAGCGAGCTACTCGTGCGCTCAGATTTGTATTAAAGAAACATACGTATTGTTGATTTTATTGACTGATGACATATGAAATATATGACAGATTTATTTGTTTTTAGTTTCATTTACTAGTTCTCTAATAAATTAGTGGATATTTTTTAATCATGTGTGATTTTTAGATGTGAACTAACTAAATATACAATTAAATAATGGCCAACACTGGAGTTTTACCCTTCGTCAGGGGGGTTGATTTTACTAGAAATGATTTTAGTGTAAGTTGGAATAAATGTGTAACTAAATATATGTATTGCTAATCATGAAATACTTTAAAGGGGGACAAATTTCCTGATGCAGTAGGTTCGATGACAGGCGTTCAGTGGCTGAAACTAGATCGAACAAACTTAGAAGAAATACCTAAAGAAATGGGAAATTTACTGAAGTTGGAACATCTATCTTTAACAAGAAACAATCTTGAAAAACTGTTTGGAGAGCTTACAGAACTGAATTGTCTTAGGACCTTGAATTTAAAACATAACAAAGTTAAAAGTTCAGGAATACCACCACAACTGTTCCACTTAGAGGAATTGACTACTCTAGACTTGAGTCATAATAATTTGAAAGAAGTCCCAGAGGATTTGGATAAAGCAAAAACTTTATTAGTGTTGAATTTGAGCCATAACCAGTAAGGAAATCCATTTCAATTGAGTTGTACCATTTTTTACAGCCTTTGATTTACATTTGAAAATAGATCATAAGTTGACATGAGTGATGTCATAAGTAACTCTTAGGCAGCTTACACACGGATGCATTATAACTGACACGACAGACAATACGACTGGTTGTATATCACTGGACAAGCCGATCTCACCGCGTTGCATCGGTTTGTGTATGTATCATCGCTTTTTTATTTTGAAGCAAAATGAATGATGTATGGCAGGAATAATTAGTCCAAGTAGTTCTACGAAGGTTGTTGGTTTCATCCTACAAATAGATTAAAATTTAAGCGGGTCATAGAGTTCCCTTGCAGCTACAAACATTCTTCTTTTAAAATTTTCTAAAGAATACGGGTGCACCCAGAAACATCTTTTCTTTCTTTTACGAGAATACCAAGAAATGATAACATCCTTGTCTTCTGACTACTCCATTTTGATTTAAATGTACAACAATGTCAAAACATCGATTTTATGTTATTAATTACAAGAGTCGGTCTTGTGAGTTGCTTTGTATCACTGTGTAAGCTGCCTTATGAATTGAAAAGGGAACATTTTTTTTGGAGAGATAAGTAAATAGAAAGTTGTTACAATGTAAATCAATAGATTGTTCATACAGTCAAAATTAAATTGTGGTGTATGACTGTTCCCATTGATATACAATGTAACAACTTTTTTTAAATAAGAGATAAAGTAATGATTTGGTATATAACCAGTCACAAGTCAATGTTAATCAAAGTGGTTAGGTGGTTCTGTATCTCTTATTTTTCATCAAATTCAATGAAGACTTGACAACAGGTAATTACTTGATTACAAATCAAGTAATTACCTGTTTCCAATCATGAAACTCCTGAAACAACATGATGAGCCATCTCTGTTACTTTGTTATATTGCCTGCAGTTTGGAAGCAATCTTTCCAGGTGGTCCCTTTACAAAAGTTTTCTCAAATGTGTTTTCATGTATGTCTTTTTAGTACCTTTTTATTGACCCATTTTCTAATCAGATTTGGGTGAAGAGAATTGGCTACTTTATTTGAATTAGCACAAAATTCACAATTTCTTGTTTATTTAAGAAAATTACTAATATATATTTTTGTACTTTGTTCTCGAATGAGTATTGCATTAATGACATGTAATTTTTGTACATTATTTCACTGGAAAGAAACTTGTTTTCATTAGAGCAGAACTGGTATTTTTTGTTGTGGATACACTACTATCGATAATTGTATTTCCATGTTTGGTCAAGGAATCAAGTATTTTGATAACAACTTATCCTTGCAAGTTTTGTGTGAAAAAAACCTTTTTGGAAATTGATTTAAGTTTTTCACACTTTCTCAAGGTATATTTCTAAATTCAATGCTTTTTTTCATTTCAGCATAGAAGCCATTCCCAATTCTCTCTTCATCAACTTAACTGACCTTCTGTTTCTTGACTTGAGCCATAATAAACTTGAAACGCTGCCTCCTCAAACCAGACGACTAGCGAATTTGCAAACATTAATTTTAAACGATAATCCATTAGGTCACTTTCAGTTGAGGCAACTGCCATCACTTTTGAATATTGAAACGTTACAAATGAGAAACACTCAGAGGAATCTAAATAATTTTCCAACCAATTTAGACAGTCTAATCAATCTTTGTGAAGTTGATTTGGCACAAAATGCCCTTCCAAAGGTCCCAGAGGCATTGTATTGTTTGATTAATCTGAGAAGGCTGAATTTGAGTGAAAATGAAATCAGTGAACTATCATCAGGTAAGATAACTATGAAGATTCTTGAATTCAGTATTGCCTTGTTTATAGCTTATTTGAAAAGTAGACAGCAAGAGAATAATAGAATCATAATAGTTTCAATAAAAGTAATTTTCAGCTATGGAAGTGTGGCAGAAACTAGAAACTCTGAATTTATCTCATAATAACATTGCAAGTTTACCAGCAACCCTTTGCAAATTGGTTTCATTAAGGCGATTTTATGTTAATGATAATCAACTTGACTTTGAAGGGATTCCTTCTGGCATAGGAAAATTAGGAAACTTAGAGGTATTTTCTGCCGCCAACAATCACTTGGAAATGATTCCTGAAGGTCTTTGCAGGTATTCAAAACAACTTCTATTCATGTCTTATGATTTCATAAAAACCATTTTGTAGATGTGGATCTTTGAAAAAATTGAATTTAAGCTCTAACCGTCTGATAACTTTACCTGATGCAATACATCTTTTGACTGACTTAGTGACACTAGATTTGAGAAACAATCCAGAACTTGTTATGCCCCCAAAACCTGTTGAAACTACTAAAGGTTCTGGTGTAGAATTTTACAACATTGACTTTTCTTTGCAAAATCAACTGAGGCTTGCTGGTGCTAGTGTACCTACTCCTGCACCTGTACAAAGTGAGTACTTAGTGAATCTAATAAGTATCGATAACTTTTGAATGAATCATGCGCTCAATATAATTGCAATAAATACAACTAAATGAATGTCGCTATACAACAATACAAAAAATACGCATTTAATACAATATATAACAAGTCAGCTTTCTAAAGTACAATGACAACAATCAGAAATATGTATGCATATGAAAATATATCACAGAATTCAATGCTTTTTTGAAACTTCTATATATAAAAAAATATGTCAGTTTAAATAAATTAAATCAATGGTCCTATATGACTTTCTTGATAATACATTGATTTTGAGACATAAATTAACTTTCAAGTATTGGGATCTATTATCAATATAACTTTTTAATCATTCTTACAGTTTTTTTCAAAATACAATCGCCTGTAGTTTCTCATAGAATTGTATGATTCACTGTATTAAATGCTTGTGAGAAATCATCTACTTGAGAACGCATAGTGTGAGAGTAGTAGTAAATTGGAAGTTGTTGATATATCTCTAGCAAAGCCACGGTTTTGGGTGTGGAACTGATAATACCAATTAGACAATAATTCTAAATGTTCTATTTATTGCCAGATTTGTGAATTGGTGCTTTGAAATTTGATTTCTAAATTGTGAAAATATTCATAATTCCAGAAAAGAGGAGAAAAGTGTTAATAATGGCTTTAGAAGTGTGAATCGACAGTTTTCCAGCAAAAAATTCTAATGTTTCATATAAACCAGGACTTTTATTAATGTCTAGCTTGGTTAGTATAGGAAAGAATTTCTAGCAATGAAGGCGCTATCAATCAATAAACAGCTGATCGAAATAACTGAATGTGAAACATAGGTTATATTTATAGTTTTGGGATTTGCTGTGGTTTAAGTAGTTTAATTGTAAATTTGTGGGAGTAATGTTTTTTGGTGCGATTTTTATTGGCATGAAAAACTGATGAATTATTGAAATGATGTACCTTCGCTAATATAATGCGCAAGAAATCGCAACGATTTGTGAAAACAACTGACAGAACTTTGTTGATGTTTTACTATCTGATTTAGTGCCAATATTTCTGGTAGATGCCATATCTGGACGAAGAAATTCTCTAAAATATCCAGACTGCAGTTGCTTATGTTTATGAGTTTAATAAATCCGGATCTATTTTAATTCAATTCTTGTTGCATATGAGATCTTTGTCTAATTATCATCTAACAACATGTAAAACATTTTTATTTATAATGTTATTTTTGTCATCCCTAAGAGGACTGTTGAATGTGCTCATACTGAACATTTCATCTAATTGTGGATACACTTTGTGAACCTTGGTAAATTCGAAATTTATCTGAAGAAATTGCCAAAATTATAGTTATGATAATAATATTTCTTGGTGTATTATTTATTCCATATGAAATTGAATTGAATTATATCTCTAGAGCAAGTGTTCTTAAATTGTTTTAAACTGATATATTTTACCAGTATTGCTTCATAATGAATAATTTCTATAAGGTTTTAACCAATGTTTGGAAAAGAAACAACGCAATTTTTATTCAACCAAATGATTTTTTTTCAGATTTGAGATACCACATTCTTGATTGACTATTCTTATAATTCATTATTTTTAGTTACTTGAGCAATGTAATTGCCTATGGGGCAAAATCATTGCTTCTATTTTTTTTCAACATCATTTTGATTGTCGTCCGATTAGATCAAATGTTATCTAATTGACCCTCATTCCAATCATCCATGTTCTCAATTAAATATTGGGTCACATTCATTGAATATTTTTGTAATGGAATCTTGAGATTTCTATTTCAACTTCTCATTTGGGTATTGTATTTCTTGTATGATATTGAAAGTTATGTTATTTGTTATATAATATTTCATTTACCAAAAATGTATGCTTTTAATTTTAGATCCTAGCAAAGATCCAATAGCAAGAAAAATGCGATTAAGGAAGGGACGAAGAGATCATGAGGAAGCTGATCAAGATCAAGCAAAAATTTTGAAGGTTTTCTTAGTTTCTTCCCATTATTTAGGTTCATTCACAATATTTTTTATTTTTTAGGGGATGAAAGATATAGCAAAAGAAAAAAATAGAAGTATTCAAGAGGATGAAAAGGTAGAATCACTCAAGTAAGTTTCAATGTATTATAATTATTCAAAATCATTTGCATAATTTTTTACTTTTCATTGAGTTGATATTAAAGTGTTTTCTAATTTCTCATCCTTACGTGAGAAGGGTTCTTCAAGTTTTTTCAGAAATTATCAATTTTAAAAATGTTACTTATTTTTAGGCCTAAAAGGTGGGACGAAACTTTGGAAAAACCTCCTTTGGATTATTCAGAATTTTTTGAAGATGATGCAGGACAGGTTCCTGGTCTTACCATTTGGGAGATAGAAAACTTTTTGCCAAACCGTATAGACGAAGTTGCTCATGGAAAATTCTATGAGGGTGATTGTTATATAGTTCTCAAAACATTTTTGGATGAAAATCAGTCTCTCTCCTGGGAAATATTTTTTTGGATTGGTGAAAAAGCCTCAGTAGGTTCTGTATTCGTCTCTTAAGCATGGAGGTTATTCTAATTTTCATTATTTCAGTTAGATAAGAAAGCTTGCTCAGCAATACATGCTGTGAACTTGAGGAATTATTTAGGTGCACAATCCCGCACAACGAGGGAGGAACAAGGGGAAGAATCTGATGAATTTCTAGGCCTTTTCGATTCACACATTACATATATTGAAGGTGGAAGGACATGTAGTGGCTTCTTCACTGTTGAGGACATGGTATGTTTAATAAAATTAGTTTGAATACAAAGCTGAATATAAATATTTTGTACTGCCGAAAACATTACACTAACATTTTTTGCAGAATTTTGAAACACGACTTTATAGAATCCACCTATCTGGTCCTTCGATTCACTTAGAACCTGTACCCGTTTCATCTGATTCATTGGATCCATGTTATGTGTTTCTCTTAGATGCTGGAATGAAAATTTTCTTATGGAATGGTAAGAAGGCCAAGAATACCCTAAAATCTAAATCTAGGTTGATGTGTGAAAAAATGAATAAAAATGAAAGAAAAAACAAGGCTGAAATTTTATCAGAAAATGCAGGTAATGAGAGTAAGGAGTTTTGGCAGCAATTAGGTCAACCAGATGGAATACCTCCTGAAGAACCACCACAGGTACTATAGTTCCTTTTTGATAGTAGTGTAGTAATAAAAGCTCATTTCGTATGCAAAATCCTTACAGGATGATTCACGTAAATTCTCTTTATTCCTACTTATTTTCTATTGATAACGGGTAGTTCTGCCTCACATGATTTCATGGGTCTGTCTATTGTTCCTATCGAGTAATTACCGCAAATGTTCTGTTACACACAAATTATAATATTTCTCAATATACAGCAATCAAAAAGTAGCTTTTATATTTTAAAAATGAAAAATATACAAAAAATGCATTATATTATTGTATATATGATTGACTATCCTTCTTGCTGCTGACAGTAGTTGTATGTTGCCAGCATTTTGATATTGTTTGTCCTTCATTTAACCAATTCATTCGAATACTATTGCTTTTCTTTGCTACACTTTTGGATACTCCGTCAATATGTTCTCCTCACCACAAAATCATAGCATTCTAATAAAATAGATTTTCTGCTGTATTGTTTACATTGAAAATCCACTTTTAAAATTTTCCAAAATGTGCTCTGACTCATTTTGGTTGGATCTTGCTGTCCATCTGCACAAATTTTGTCCACTGTTGGTATTTTTCAGTATTCAATGACATGAATACATGATTGGTGTTTTTTGACATTTGCTTGCATTCTTTTATATTTTGAAATACTTCTTTTTCAAATGCCTAGCAAAGTTTCACAAAATCATCTACAATCCATCTGTTGTTTTCAGAACTTCACGTTTTGTTGATAAGGTGTCGATCTCAACCACTCACAAGTCAATAAATTTCCCATATTTATCAATCAAAATTGTCAGGTGTTATTGCAATTAGATTAGGGCGTTGTTAGGTACTTTTAAGGAAAGCCTTCTATTGTGATCATAAAAGGCCCATTATCCAACCCTTTCAGTTTGGTTGGTTCACAAAAGTTATTGTAAATTTAGTGTTGTCAGAGAAATAATTAATATGTAGTAAGGGATGATCTCTTATATTTCACATATAGTCAGTGGGACTGGCTGAAGGAACAATTTGTTCGGGCCAGTCTCAACATCCTACTCTGTAGGTTAATAGACTGACACCTATCAGAAAACAACTACTCCCCTAGCTAATACCGGAAGGGCATTGGATTATATCCGACAGGTGTCAGTGCAGGATTCTTTACTGAAGTTGTTCCTACATATGCTGTTGGCGATACAACTGCCGCAATAGATTTTCAATTATTGAAACACACTTACAGACCGGTTACGTGCTGTTTGGCCACTCGTCAGTGCAAGGTAGTGTCTATCAACATAAAGTCGATGATTTCCGATAATTGAAAATCGACTTCCCTAAGAGTATCATTCCTCGAACTAGGCTGAAGCGTACAACAAACAACAGGCTTGTCATCGCCCCATGTGTCCGTGAACGAGGTAACCAACCGCATATCCGAAATTTGCCGAATTCCTCGTATGAGGGAAAAACTGCTTGGAACAAATTTTTGAATATCATTAGTGGTTTGATAGATTCCTGTTTCCCTATTAAAAAAATACCCATTAAAAAAAGAGGTGAAATGCGAATTTGGTTTAACGAGGAACTTCTGCATTTAAAGCAACAATTAACTCTTATATCGGATTTAGCAACTTCTTACCCAATATATCATCAACCAAG